ACAGTGGAGAGGAAAAACTCCCTGTTGGGAAGAAACCTCTGGCAGAACCAGGCCCAACAGGGCGGTCTTCTGCCGGACCAGTTGAAATGCAGTCCAGGAGGAATGGCACTCTGATGAAGCTTTGGCTACGGTGGTGGAGGAGGGGCTGGAGATGGGTTGAAACGGTGTCATCTGAATGAAGTCATACAGTGCATCCGCCGCCCGTGCACAGGAGCAGACAGGTGTGTATAGGAAGCCTTTTAAGATGAACTTTGGATGCCGATTGGCTTTCGTTGAGGTTTGGTTCAAAGATGATTGGCTGTGTTGCAGGTGGATGTAGGAAAGCAATGAGTTTCTTCAGTTGAACTTCCGCCTAGGCTCCATTTGTTCTGTTTATCTAAATCTTCTTTTTGCCATAAGCCGCTACTGTAACCTACACTATGGTAGACCTAATTCCTTACTGAAGGTCTGAACCTTTGGGAAACAATCCCACATGTTCTTAAAACAATAAAGGGGCTGATGCTTTAGACTTCTAAATTGTCAGACACTATTAATAGATCTATAAACTTTATATCAGCTGGTCATTCGACATTAGCATTATATCATAATTAAGGTTAAAGTTCCACTCCCTGCTATTCCCATTACACATCATTGTCAGCAACATTTCTATTGCCACGGACAACCGATGTAACAGCAGGCTCTTAAAACATAATCCTTTTTAAAGGAGTCGATGCACTTAAGAAGCTTTTAATTCTAAAAGAAAAAACACTCAATCATTTATTTTTTTTCCTCCTCTGAAAGCAAAGACAAGATTATCTTCTTTGACACCTCTGCAGCAGCCATTGCACACTCATTTGTTTAAGACAGTCCCACTGAAAGTGCTGCCAGAGGTAATAGGCCCGATAATTCATTGTGTTTGTGCATGATGAGGAGGCAAATCCTCAAACGGAGAATCATCCATCATTGTCACATTCAGCTTCTGCCCCCAGTCTTAAAAGGGATGAAAGTCTTACCTCAGGTCTGAAAGATTTTAATCAAGTTAATGGTGGGCAGACCAATGCCTGAATCTTAAAAGAAACGACCTAATTAGTTTGGAGTGATTATACAAACACATACATCACAAATATAAACACTGACTATAAAAGTGTATTCTGTAAACACAACTGCAAATAAGTCATCTAGGCTTTTCTTTTAACAGTTAAACGGATGTTTTTGATAAATACTCTTTTACTAGGAATAAAATGATTTGCTTATAGAATGAAGAAATACTAAAAAAATGTAAAAGTCTTGCTGCATGGAGATATCAGGACAGATATTCTTGTCACCCACAAATGTTTACAACTTTACTTTTCCGACATGCTGGAGACAGTATATCAGATTATATTTAGCAGATATAAAATCGTTACAGTTTCAAATTGAAAGACCAGAATATATCATTATTAAAAGCACCTGGGTTATGAGAACAATCCAGATATATGGGTAAAATAAGCTGGGGAAGATTCCTAGTCATCTAGGTCATAGTCAGTCCAAAAATGTAAAAAACACAATCCACTGGACTTTTTTTTTCCACGTTTGAAGACGTTTCCCTTCCCATTCAGGGAGCTTTTTATATTCCAAATTTCAGAAATAGCGTTTAGTTCAAGGCTCCTCTGGACAAGACTTGGCTGTACATCTACACTTTATGGACGGAGGACATTCTTTTTTGAGGACCAGAATGTTCACATTTTGGACAAAAGAAGACAGGTGGTTTGAGAGGGTTGTGAAGGAAGCTAAGAAAGACAAAACAACCTTAAACAGAGGGGGTGGACTCAGATTCAGCTTTCAAAAACCTGTAATTCAGCGATTGAGTTGATTCTTTCCCGCCATCATCGCAACCCCCACCCCCTTACATGGGACCAGAGCACCTCACCTATTCAGCCAGGTCAACAACTCTTTAACGACCCCCCTTTCAGAGACATAGACAGGTTTCGGGTATTACATGCTAACAAAGAAACAAAACCACCCCTATTCTAAAGGGGCGGACCTGCTCGTCAGGTTCAATTGGCATTTTTTCTAAGCCAAAACGAGGCTTTGCTTTGCTCCACTCTATAAAGCCTTGAACTCAGCGCTCTGACATTTTGAATTGAAAAAGCTTCCTGGATGAGAAGCAAACTGCTTCAAACTAGGAAACAATCCAGTGGATTGTTTTGTAACTTTTTTGAAATGGGTAAAATAAAGACAGGCTAAATTCATGTGGTACACGGAGGACCAAAATTAATCTGCGCTCTTATAACATGAAAAAAGCTGGGGTTAGAATTTGGAACTCTTTCCAAATTAAAACTGTGGTAGAATTTCATGGCTGAGACTGTTTTTATAGAGGCTAATGAGAATAAATATTTAATTTCTAAAATGCAATTACTGCCTTTTAAAAAATTACTACTTCAAACATTCAGGTTTATCTACAAACCAGAAGAAAGTAAAGGATGATTAAATCACTAACAAACAGAAAAATAACAGACTTAGTAGTCCATCATTTCACTTAATCTTCCTTGGCTTTTGTTGTTGGTTAGACGGCAGAGTGGCGCCGATGATATGGCAGCCTCACTTCTTTCAGTGTGTCCCAGGGCAGCTGTGGCTACAATGTTGCTTACCACCATCGGTGTGTGGATGTCAGTCCTCAGACTTCATACAGCGCAATATATGTTCAGGCCATTAAAGCTGCAGTCTGTAACATTGAGGAGAGAGCAGACTTCGACTGAAAATTTGAAGAAAAACAGGTTTCACGCCACTCCCCCACCCTCTCTGCTTCACTCATGCTCCACCCCTCTCACAGCATCTGCGCAGCTGTCGCTCCGCCATGACTTCCACGCGCGTCCTCCTGACTGCAGCAGCCAGGCGGCAGCGG